TCCTCCCTTAATTATAATATAAAATATACTGTCTTAATGATACACAGTTTTTTAATTGAATTATTATAGTGTTATACTTAAAAAAAAAACTATTATATATAGATATATCTTGATGTTAGATCAATTTTTCAAAATATTTCACTGTTGTTAAACTTTTAGCTTCGATGCGAAGCTGAGAAGGTATTAATTTTACCATGATGTGTTTATTTTTTTTTTTTTTTTTTGTGTCTGTCACTACTTTTTCTCAGCTCTCACTGGACCGATTTCTTTTAACAATACGTCAAAAGATCACAAATTGTATCTAGTTGAAGACATTACCCTTAAAAATTTAAAAATTTTCCCTCGTTCCCCGCAAATGGGGGAAATATCCAAAAAAATTACAAATTTAAAAATCGACAAATTTTGTCATTTTCTTCACTTTTTTTTCTTAAAACTTCCATAACTTTTTCAAAAATCAACAAATCAACATAATTTTTTTTTAAACTAAAACCTTAGATATTTTCCTTTCATTTGATATAATTTTTTTGAAAATTTAACACTTAACCTGCTCATGGGGGGGGATTTAAAATTGCAACTTTTTTACAAAAACTAACTTTTTCAACTTAATTTTTGAAAATGTTCCGGAAATACTGCGTCCTTTAAACATATATCAAATTAAAGTTTTTTTTATGTACTATAAAATGAAAAAAAAAAATTTGTCCCGACACCTTATCTTCTATGTGCAAATGGCTGTCGAAATTATAAAAAAAATGTAATGTTTACGATAAAAATCACCTTCTATCGGGATGTTTTTTGTACTTAAAACTGCCATAACTTTTTCAAATATTAACTAATCAAAATAATATTTCTTTATATTGAAACCTTAGGTAATTTTCTTTCATTTGATATCATTTTTTTTTGAAAATCTAACACTTATTCTGCTCACGGGGGGGATTTAAAATAGCAACTTTTTTACAAAAACTAACTTTTTCAACTTAATTTTTGAAAATGTTCCGGAAATACTGCGCCCTTTAAACATATATCAAATCAAAGCTTATTTTATATACTATAAAATGAAAAAAAAAAATTTGTCCCGACACTTTATCTTCTGCATGTAAACGGTTGCCGTAGTTAAAAAAACACTATTTTTGTGTTAAAATTTTCGATTTTCGATTTTTAATTTTCAACTTGAAAATGCTATAACTTTTCGAAAAATGTATGTATCAGCACAATTTTTTTTTTC